ACCTAAAGTGCCTAAAACTAAAAATTCCCTCTGTTAAAACTACCGAACCAACTCCTTCACTGGTGAAAATACACACAGTCCATTTGTTTCAGCACCATCATTTTGTGACCTGAAGAGTGACTTTATGTCCACCTTGGCTTTGAATTCTGGCCTGCATATTCCTTTCACTGGCACTGGTGTGTATCAGCAGAGAGGCACCAGACCCAGCTTCTGATCCTGACCCAACCATTGTTGTTTTGCAGGTACCTTTGTGAGAACGTTTTTAACTGAATTTGTGAATCGGTGGGAGGTCGTGTGTTCTAGGTTTTGAACACAGCTCTAAAATTTGGAAATACTTATTCTGTAAGTTGTTTCAAAACATTGATAGAAGCAGCAATTCAGAGCAAATGTTCTCTCTTGTCTTTGTAGAAGCTGGACAGTAAGTGCTTCAAACAGGAACCCTTATCATTTGCACAGCGGAGGTTCTTGTTCAGTTAGAAGTACATGTTTGTTTGTTTGCTTTAAAAAATTAGATTTCCCTTGAAAAGCAGTGGTTTAAATTAAGAAAAAAAAATATTTATAAAACTTAAAAACCAGGTTCAAGAAGCTCTGCACTTAAAACAAGTTCTAAAGGTTTTAAAAATCCATAAACACCATGGGGTTCTCGCACTCCTAATTATGAATGTTTAGATTTTGGTGTTCATTTCCTCTGATTGAAATACTGCAGGATGAATTATTCATCCAGTATATACAGGGTCATGGAACTTAATCCCCTCCATTTATTTTAAGTGAATGTCATGTTTGTAAAAAGTGCCAGATTGACAGACAAGATTCAACCCTTCTGATAACCTACACATTGTATCTAAAGCTGTTTAGAAGTAAAAACTCTTGCGGTTGAAATTATTGGGTTAAGTCCTTCACTGATGAAAGTCAGAGATGAAAACCAGGGGTTTTTTTGAGTAGCATAGTTTTAAATCACATAAGGTGAGGTTTTCTCTATCCCTTCAGCTTTGAATTTGGACCAGAGGAGGTTGCTTTGCGGGTATGGCTCAAACCTGCCCTGAAGCAGAACTGCGCTCCAAGCCAAGCCAGTCCTTACCCATCCTGGTGCCGCCTGCTTGGCTAGCTGAAGGCACCTACTAGCATTCACATCATCACGGTTTTGAGTGCTACACCTTTGTAGCACTGGAACTAAAATAAGGATGATTCATTAATTCAGCAAAGCGGCGACGACAGCTTTCCAGTATTGGTAGCCTCTGACAGGTCACAACTGGCGGTCCCTACACAACTCTCTCCACGTCCTGCCCTTAGTAGTTAGGTCAAGATCTCTCTCTCATTCAAAATAGTTAGACACTATAAAAACATCAGTTATCGCAGTTGCAATTTATCTAAAAGGTGAGGAAGGAAGGGCAGGTAGAAGGGTTGTTGTGCCTGTTATAAATCTGGATAGGTATTCTTTTAAATTAAGCTTTTACAAAAACTAGTGAATCTTTAGTCGAGTCCCATCTGTTTTATCAGTAACAACCCAAGTAGCACCTCCAGTGTAATTCAGTAACAAACTAGGGCTTCTCCATTAATTATAGTTCAGAGACTTTAATTTTACTTTGTGCCATAAGACCATACTAAGGAAGGCCACACAATGATGAACAGAAGTAGAGGAACATATGCATAATTGGATTAAATATTCCTCAACAGTGCCTGAGTTAATGTGAGCTGTTCAGGAGCTCAGATTTGCCCCAAATCATGCAAAATGATCAGTTTCTGGTTGCTGAGAAACCCCTGGCGGCCTTGTCTGTAGGAGCTGCAGGAGGCCAGGACATGGGCTCGAGCATCAGTGGACCAGCAAAGAGGTGGCTTGTTGGCACATTGCCTGGCACAGATCTAGCCTGTGCCCACTGGCACACGATCAGCCTCTGACCCAGCATGGGGTCCAGCAAGGCACAGCCCACAACAGGCTGCGTGGACCTCCCCAACAAGCTGCATGGACAAGGCCACCCTGTTTCTGGCAGAAGAGAGGAGAGCTGTAGGGCTGGGTATTGCATGGCACTGCTCACCCTCAGGGCCAAAGAATTGGCCCTGGTCTGTTTTATTTACGTGTACAGACACAGTCATCAGCTCCAGGGACTTTTTTTGCCCTGACACAGCGTTTGGGTGTAGCAGGAAGTCATTTCTTGAGGACCAAAAGTTGCCTTTCTCACAGATAGGACTTACCCATGTACTCTTGGCCTGTGATGGTGGGGTGGGGAGAAGTGCTTGGCAAAGTGATTGCGTCAAGCAGTATTTCGCCTTGGCATAATGCAGCACTATGCACAACTTTGAAGGATGCATTTACAGTCTTATTCTTCCTCAGATGAGCTGGTGTTGGAGCATCTGCCTTTTCTAAAGAGCTCTAAGAGGAAGTGCCAGTGGTTGGAGAGCATCCTACAGCATGGCAGTCTGCACAGCATATGGGAAGAATTTTCTCTTCTTCTCTGTGGCAAACGAGGACTCTGGCTTTTCCCAGAGCCACACATGGTAGAGGAGAGCAGTGACAACACAGGAGGCTGGAGGGACATGTGGCTCTTCTGTGGCCTAGGAGGAATCCTTTCAAAAGCACAGCCAAAGGTTCACGGGACACAACCACTCACAGTGAGGAATCCTACTTAAAATGGGGCTTCCAGACACATCCTTGAGCCCACTGCGTGGTACCAGCCTGCTTGGGAGTGGGCAAACCTGGAGGAGCAGGGTGGCCTTGCAGAGTCCAAAAAACCTCTTCTGAGCCTGAGGGGCTGGAGGTTTGTGCTGCCACAATGGCTATGAGACTCTTCAGGGACTTGTCCCAGGTCTTTTCTCCTTCCAGCACCCCTTCGGGGTTTCTGTAGTTCTCTCTGCAGGATCCCTTTGGGTTGTGGCTCTTGATGTCCCAGTATTACAAAATGGCTCTAATGGCTCTACTGCTTCTGTGAAAAGCTTTTTGTTGTTGTTTGTTAGAAAAAACAGAGAGGTGCTCTTTTCTTGTTTCACATTCTTCTGAAAAGCACTTCACACAGTGGAATAGTCAGGGAGCTTGGACAACAGCAGCTTTTTAGGGCCTGTCACACTTTTTATTTTCCAGTAAATTCAGTGAAATAATTTTCCATGTGATTTAAGAAGTGTACTAATTTACAGTGCAATTATTTGAAGGTTTGTATCAATTAGCGTTGTTGCAAACACTGATATTTAGAGCTGAGGCTAAAGTGTAATTCTGAGCCACAGTAGGGGACGTGTAATTGGAGTTGAAGGTCAGGTCACATATTTGGGTTTTCAAAAGAATAAGGCAAGTTCAGCTTCAACAAAGTGTTTATGGATTTGGAATGACAATTATGTTGCTGCTGCAGCTGTATGTTTTGTACTAATTAATATACCTATCGGAGGCTTGTGGCTGGGATCCCGTCACTGCCTCCTGCTGTTTTAGATTGCTGTACACATTTATATTGACTCCAGCAGGATTACTGCTTGGCTTCCCAAGTGGCAATGAGAGGATAGTCCAGCCAGCGGACCTGTGAGTTACAGTGGTAGGAAACTCATGAGCCTGAAACTAGTCCAGTGCTGTTATGGAGGTAAATACTGGAAATTTAGGCAGGTGCAATCCAGATGGGAATTGAGTAAGTGAAATGTTAACATCATGGGAAGTTTTAGCAGAAATATAAGTCTGTTTCATTTCTTAACTCTGCACTGTCCAGGTTAGGTCCAGTTCTACCAGGTGATTAAAAATGACAGATGCTACATGATTTGCTGTATTGATACCTGTTCTCTCATATTCAGCTAGGAAACGTTTCTGGGAAAAAATACCACCCCAAATCCTAACACAGAAACACTACAAAACTGAAGCTTAAGCAATATAAATGATCTTGGTTTGTACCTGTTCTGCTGAAGAAGCATTTACAGGGTGTGAAATAAACCACTGAACACTTTTTATTTAAATAAGGCGTCATTCATTGTGAAATCCTACTGTGGCAGACTGAAGGACTCTCCCTTCTCTATTTAAATAGAAACCCTTCTCCCCAGCCTACGGAAGGACCTAGGAAAATAGCTCGCGGGGAAGGACCCAGCCATGCAATTGTTTTGTGTACAGAAGCTCTACTGAAACCAGGAGAAGCTGTGAGCAAAGAACATTTGCAAGGTTATATCCCAAGTACCTAGAAAACAGATTTTTAAAAGACATCATCAATAATAATAATACTATAGTTCTGACTCATGCTCTGAGCAAACAGTTACCAAAGAGTTTAAGATGTTCCCCCCCGCCCCAGCTGCTTGTTACCTCTCTGCTCCAGGGAGCGTTGCTTTGGGATCCGTGCCGGTGCCTGCCTGCTGCAGCTCAGAGCTGAGCCCACCCTCCTTCAGGGCTGGGGCAGGCAAGGCACTGGGATGGGTCCGTCTCTCCTGCCACCGGTATGGTTGTGGTCACTGCGCACTCAGCTTAAACCACCACAGCACTACTTGCCAGGGGCCTGCCACAGTGGCCAATACCCCATGTGAAATTTGGGAAAGGTGGGTCAATATTACAGCCCACCCGCTCCAACCCATGGGACTCATTGCCAAGAGGATGAAGGTGCTCAGCGAGAGATGAGACAAACTTGTCACAAATAGCTCCAGCAGTAGCTCTCAAACACAATGATTAGATGCAACCATGGGCTTAAGGAGTCCCTGAACAACAGCTTGCTGGAAGGCGGGTGGGCATACGGGGAGGGCTCGGCAGGTCCTGCCCTGCTGTCGGTGTGTCTTCCCTAAACATCTGTGGCTGGTCACTGACTGGGGCAGGCTGCTAGGAGAGGTGTGCAGGGCTGATGCAGGGTAGCTGGTCTTAAAAGCAAAGCACAAGGGGGTCACTGTGCCCCTGAAATGCAGGGGAGTGGTTATGGGTGGCTCTCCAGGTGTCCTGAGGGCATCACTGGCGCTGGTTCTTGTATGAAATCTCTGAAGGCAGCATCTGAGGGCAGCTTCTTTTATGGCAGATCTGCTGTGTCTTACTCTCTTAGAAACGTTTTTCCCTTTCCTTTCAGGCACCCAACGGCCTCCCGGCCGTCAGCAGTTTCGTGTCAGCACCAGCCATGCCTCCCTACGCCACACCAGCCCAAGTGTCACCTTACATGACGTACAGTGCCGCCCCGTCAAGCTACATGGCCAGCCATGGCTGGCAGCACGCTGGAGGCACCCCGCTGTCCCCTCACAGCTGCGACATTCCCGCCTCGCTGGCGTTCAAGGGCATGCAGACGGCCAGGGAGGGCAGCCACTCGGTCACAGCCTCCGCTCTCTGATGCAGGAGCCGGTCCAGGACCACCACAAGCCTGCTAGCTGGTCGTCCCCTGAGCCTGGCTCATGGACTGCTCTCTTCGTGCCGGTGATATCTGGCATTTCTCCTCATGACTTGTCTTCCGTAAGGCTTTTGGGATTGAAAGAGCTGAAGACATCAGAAACTGAGAGAAGTGTGGTGTTGCGCTCTTTAAGTAAAGACCTTGCGTCCCTCAAAGGGCTCGTGGAGCCTTGTC